TATATATGAGATATAGATCTGTTTTCTTTATAACATGGATCATATGCTCTATACCATTTTGTAATATTCCTTCCATTTAACAATATCGTGAACATTTTTCTTAATGTATAACATTAAACATTTTGCTGTAAAATAGGCTATGTGTTGAAAAAAGACTATGAAATGAATGCACATTTTTAAAAAGAATAGCAAACACCTAGGTACTCTCAACTCAGACTAAGAAAGAGAACATCACCATAAATCCAGAAACCTCACACATGTTCCTTTCAAATACTTTGAATATATGCCAGGTAGCCACTATCATGAATTTAAGCTTAAAGCATTGTCATATTTTAAAAAGTAGATTATCCTGCCTTCTTTTCAACATTAAATAAGCAAAACACACATACCATATATTCATTTTGGAACCAGAGTAGTTTGTGTCTGTTAGTCAACAGTATGAGTTTGATATTCATTTATGTTGTTTCATGAAAATAAAATTAGTCCCTTTAATGATCTTTAACAAGAGTCAGTAAATGTTTTCTGAAAAAAAAAAAAAAAAAGAAAAAAAACTAGTGGGACCAGCAGATAGTATATAGGTTATGTCACTTGACTCCCACATAATCAATGGCTCTTCTAGTCCTAAACCTGGTGGCTTAAAACTCATGCTGGGAGACCAGCAGATGGAGTAATGGTTCCATTGCTGGACACCCATGCAGTCAACCACAGTTGGAGTCCTGGACCCAGTGACTTAAAACTCACGCCAGGCATGTGTGAGTGAGTGCCCAAGATCCTGAGAGAATGGAGGAGAAGGGATTGTGGCATGGCCATCTCCTCTGGGAGGTGATTTCTCACTTTCTGTCCCTCTTTCTCTCCAGTGAGCATATGCATCCTATACCAAAAATCTCTCTCTTTAAAAAGAAAAAAAAAAGACTATTTAGTAAACATTTTCAGTCTTTGCGGACCCTGCAGTCTTTATTGCAACAACTCACTTTTGTTAATGTAGTGAGGAAGCAGTCATACACAACATACAAATGAATAGATATGGTTGTGATCTAATAAAGTTCATTTACAAAACACATGCCTGACCTGTGGGTCTGCAGTGTGTTCACTCCTGCTCTATACTAACTTACTCAATGAGCTACACTATTTTATCCTCAGAGTTTACTTCAATTTCAATATCCCTTCTACATTTGGAGAACATTGGATTTGTTTCAGCTTATTTTTCTGTCATCAACAAAGCTGCTATAGATTTTTTTTCATTTTTCTCTTTAATTTTTCTAAAAATAAATATGTAGTGCTGGAATTACTTATTCATAGGACACGTTCATTTTGAACTTTAGAGGGTAATGTAAAATTATTTTCCAAAATGATTGCATCAGTTACTTGCCTGCATTTAGGGAACTGGAGCCTCCATTACTCTGTCTGACTGTCCTGATTTTTTGCAGTCTGATGGATCTGTAATGGTCTGTGATCTTAATTTGTGGTCTGGGGCCTTATTTTTTCCTGGCTACTAATGATTTCAAAAATCTGTTCATATGTTCATATCTCATTTATGCTTTTGCACATAGGAAATTTCTACTTATTTTGTTTATCTGTCATTATACGGAGCTACTTCTTTATTTTCAGAATTTATTACATAGTTTAAATACTAGATTTTATGCTAATATTTTTGTTGCAAATACTTATCCTTGTTTCTGCCTTATTTTTTGTTTCTTCTCATTTATTTTGAAGAAGAGAAGTTAATGTTTGTTTGTGTGATAAGGTATCATTTCTTTCTTCTGTGTCTTGTATCTTCATCAAGAAATACTTTAGTACTCCAAGTTTTAAAAATATTATCCCAGGGGCCAGTAGGTGGCATGGTGGTTAAGGTGTTGGATTCTCACATGGCCAACCATTGGAGTCCTTGACCCAGTGGCTTGAAAATCACGCTGGATACTTGTGAGTCTGTGCTCCAAATCCCAGGAGGAGAATGGAGAAGAAGCAACTGTGGCATGACCATCCCTCCTGGGGGTCATTTCCCACTTTCCCTCTCAGTGTCTCTCTTTAGAGAGCACATACATCGTATGGCAAAAACCTAAAATATATTATACTCCAAATATTTAATGGAGTGTTTTTGTTTCATTATTTTTAGGTTTTTAATTCATTTGAAATTAACTTTTTTTTAGAGAGAGATTTTTGCTATAGGGTGTGCATGCTCACCAGAGAGACAGAAAGCAAGAAATCACCTCCAGGGTGGGGTAGGGGTGACCATGCCTCAATCCTTCCTCCTCCAATCTCCTCTTGGGATTTTGGACATGCATGCACATGTGCCTGGCATGAGTTTTAAGCCACTGGATCTGGGACTCGAACCACGGTCGACTATGTAGAAGTCCAGTGACATAACCATTACACCATCTACTGGCCCCAAGATTGACTTTTTTGTATGGTACAAGCTAATCTAATTTTATTTTTCCCCATATAAATAAATGATGATTCCAAGAACATTCGTTGACTAGTTTATGCTTTCCACTGGTCTGCAATGCCAGCTCTGTGTGAAAAAATGTTCATATTTGAAGAACTCCATTTTCTTCTATTGGTGTGATTGCTTATCTCTGTGCCAAAACGACACCTTCTTAACTGCTATACCTTTATGATGAGTAATGAGATTTAAGAATAAATCATCTCTTCTTGTTTTCGTTCTTCAAGAGTTTTGGTTATTCTGGGATCTTGTAGTTCTGTGTAATTTATAGTAGTTGTTGTTAAGTCAGCAAACAATCACAAACAATCCATTTGAGATGATGATTAAACTGCATTGGATCTATAGGGGATGGATGGAGCCGTAATGATAAAATGCAATGTTCTGTGAAGCAGATCTGCATGAGAAGGTTCTAGGTTCAGGGCAGAGCCCTCCCTGGCTACTCTAGGCACACTTGTCCCCATGATTCAGAGCTGGTGGTGGATTATGGCATTAAGATCCCGTTGAGGGGCGATGTCTCTCTGTCTCTCTGTTTCTTGCTCTTGCTTACCCATGGAGAAAAATGAATAAGCTTAGAAAGACAAAAGACAATTTTCTGCTTAGAAAATTGTATTTAATCTATAGACAATTTCAGATTAATTTGTATGTTCATAATAAGAGATCTTCATAAGCATGACCATTTATTTCAGTCTTTTTTAGTGTTTTCCATTAAAGTTTTGTATTTTGTAATTTTCTCCACAAATGTCTTTATTCATGGGTACTTTATATTTTTTAATATATTAAAGTAATGTTTCCTTTAGACATAACTTGCTGTCAGTTCTTAAAAGTACAGAAATAAACTGGATTTTTATATGTAAATTTTGTACTATAAAGCTTACTAAACTTTATTAATAATTCTAATAATTTATCAGTTGTTTCTTTCAGAGTTTCAATCACATTATCTAAAAAGAATATCAGTTCTAGTTCTTCTTTCTCTATCCTTATATCTTTAATTTCTTTTTCTTGCCTTGCTGGGATGGCTAGACTATTCAATATTAAAGAGAAGTGGATAAAACGGTCACTCTTATCTTGTTCTTTATCTTGAAGAGAATCTGTCAAAATCTTATGACTAAACATGATGTTGGCTGGAGAATTGACATTCACATGTTTCATAGGCTTAAAGAAAATCTTTCATTCCTAGTTTACTATGGTTTTTCTTACAAGTAGACATTGAATTTTAAAATTCTTTTTGGGCAGGTATTGAAATAATCATGATTGTTTTCCTTTAAGCAGTATATTTGAGGAAATAATAATTGGCTGTTTTAATGTTAAACAAGCTTATTTTATTCTAAAGTAAAACCAGATTGTTCATGTACCCATTTTACACGTTGTTGGATTTGGTTTGATGATATTTTGTTTACGAATTTTATATCTATAATTTGTAAGTGAAATCAGCCTGTTAAATTGTTGTCAGGACAATTCTAGCTTCATAGAAGCTGAAACAATTGTGTAATATTGGAATTAATTCATCCTTTATAGTTTTATAACACTTATTGGTAAAATTACCTTGGCCTGGAGGTTTACTCACAATTTTTACTTAATGTCTATATTTCTTAATATAGTTAAAGGACTTTTCAAGTTTTATAATTTCTGATTTAATATCGATAAGTAATTTTTCTGGAAATGTATTCATTCAATTGAAGTTAAAAAATGCATTGAGATAAAATTGTTCATGTTACTTTGCATTGTTTGGTCTGAAATTTCTGTCAATACGTTCCTTTATTAATTCATAATAGAGTTTATTTATGTCTTCTCTCATTTTTCTTGGTCAATTTCACTAGCAGTTTGCTTAAAGTTCAGACACTTTTGCTTTTGTGGATAGTCTCTGTTTTATTCTTTTTTTACATATCGTTAACATCCATTTTATCATTACTGCTTTTTCCCACTTTTACTTTCTTTTTGCTCTTGCTTTTGTAACTTCTTAGGGTGAATATTCAACTCATTAATGTTCAGCTTCGTTTCTAACTAACAAGTATTTTAAACTATAAATTCCCCTAGATAATGTTTTAAACACGTTGTGCATGTTTTAGTACGGTTTCTTTTATTTTTATTTAGTTCTGAGTATTTTTTAAATTCGTGAACCATGGGTCAGATTATCAAACATGTATTATTTTTCAAGTTTCCTTTTTTGACCATTTCTAATCCAATTATATCATGTTTTGAGAATGTGGTTATGTGTTAAGAAAATCCAGTTTTAAGAAATTTCTGAGACAAATCCAGTTTTCACAAATCTTGACAAATTCATAGGCCACGGGTGCTCTTTATAAATGATCCAGATGTACTTTAAAAGAATGCTTTATATTGAATTTGAAAATAGCGTTGCTCAAATTTTCTGTGCCTTTTATTTCCATTCTAGGGACCTGATCTGCCATGACCCTGAGAAAGGAAGTTGATTTGTCCAGTTTTGAACTGGATTTTTGCTGTGTTGCATCTTTGCTCTGTGCAGTGACTCAAGGTCAGCGTAGTCTCTGCAGCTAAGCAATAGTGTTGGCTTTCTCTTTATCTTTCAGACCTAAGATCCTCAATGAAGAGAGCCAATCACACAGAGGTAAGGGAGTTTGTTTTCCAAGGTTTCTCCAATTTCCAAGAACATCAGCTCACACTCTTTGTGGTCTTTCTCTCCCTGTACATCCTAACTTTGACTGGCAATGCCATCATTGTGACTATCATCCGTATTGACCACCACCTCCATACCCCTATGTACTTCTTTTTAAGCATCCTCTCTACCTCAGAGACGTTCTACTCCCTGGTCATTATCCCACGCATGCTTTCTAGCCTGGTAGGATTGAGCCAGTCCATCTCCCTGGAAGGCTGTGGGACTCAGCTCTTTTTTTTCCTTGGCTTTGCCATTACCAACTGTCTCCTGCTAGCAGTAATGGGGTATGATCGCTACGTGGCCATCTGCAACCCACTTCGGTACTCAGTCGTCATGAACTGGAGAGTCTGTGGCATGCTAGCCTCCTCAGTCTGTGTCACAGGGTTCTCCCTCTCACTGGTTCAGGCTGTGGCCATTTTCAGACTTCCTTTTTGCCATTCACTGATTGAGCATTTCTTCTGTGATGTTCGACCTGTGTTGGACCTGGCCTGTGTTACCCCAATGATCAATGACATCTTGACCTTAATTATCAGCCTCTTGGCCATCACAGCCCCTGCCACCTTCCTTTTCATCACCTATGTCCTCATTATTTCTACCATCCTCAAGATTGCCTCAGCTGCAGGCCGGAAGAAGACCTTCGCCACCTGTGCCTCCCACCTTACTGTGGTCATCATCCACTACGGCTGTGCTTCCATTGCATACTTTAAGCCCAAGTCAGAGAACACCAAAGATCAGGATCAGTTAATCTCAGTGACCTACACTGTTATTACACCTTTACTAAATCCTGTTGTTTACAGTCTAAGAAATAAAGAAGTCCAGGATGCTCTGCGGAGAGTAATGGGTAGGAAATCCCTTCCTTAATGTGTAATCTTTACCCAAATAATTGTGTACATTTACCCAAATGATTGTGAATGAAAGTGTTTAGGTAAAATTACACAGAGTTTTATGTGCTTAGTGAAATCTTGGATCTCACAACTAGAGTCAGGGCAAAAGTGAAGCACTCTAATAATTGAGTCTTACTTCCTCAACCCCTTCGTTAACATAATCAAAACACAGGTCGCTTGACAGACCTGTACACAGACACTTGTTGGCCCTATTCTAAGAGATAATTACAAGGCCACGGTGTTATCTAATGTTCATTTCAAATTTAAAGGGACTAGCCCATTTAAAGTACTTTAAAATCACCACTCAATTAAATCTCTTAACATACATCGGATGCTTGAACGAGTAATTACTAAAAAAGATAGATGCAAAAGTTTTATTGCCTTGTGCTTTAGTAAGATCAAAACAAAAATTTAGATAACCTTTAAGAACTGGATTTGGGAGACCAACAGATGGCATAGTGATTACATCGCTGGACTCTCACATGGCCGTCTGTGGTTCCAGTCCTGAACCCAGTGGTTTCAAACTCTTCAAACTCATGCTGGCATGTGTGCAAGCATGCCCAAGATCCCAGGGGAAATGTGTATGTGCATGCCTCAACTCCCCACAAGATGGAGAAATCGAGGAGAAGGAATTGTAGTGTGACTACACCCCACTGAGGAGTGCTTTCCCTCTCATGATCTCTGTCTCTCTCTTTCTCCAATGAGTGCATGTTGCCCTAAGGCAAAAAACTCTGAAAAAAAAGAACTGAGTTTGGAATAAGTTAAATAATTTCTAGGGAGAATATTTTCAAGAAACCCATGTACATTCCCTATCATCTAGTGGGGGGGCAAGGTGGGGAGGGAAGTCGAATGGAGAAGACAACACCTAATCACATATGACAGCCATAAGGCTCGTGTCGTGTGAACAGAGTGCAAATAACTTGGCCTGATTCTTTTTTTCTGCTGCCTGAAAATAAGCCACATAAAGGAGAAGGCTTAGAGGGGATGAAAAAAATGCCTCCCCGTGGACTAGAACTGCAGGCTCAGAGGAAGAGAAGCTCACCCAAAGAGCTAAAATGAAAAAAAAATGTTGAGACTTTGGCTAAAAAGACAGAAAAAAAATAGAAACAGATCCAAATTGGAGTTTCTACTGATAGAATAGTAGGGGAAGACAGAAAGATAAGGCTAGGATAAAGAGGAGAAAAATAGATTCAGAAAAAGTTGAGTACTCTCCTTTTTCAGCAAGCTAAGTCACAAAGGTAAGGAGAGAAAATTAAATGGAGATATGAAAAAGTCAACATCACACTCTCTGAACAAGTCAGGTAATTTTAGCATTCCTGAAAAAAATGAACAAAGTCAACAGTAAAGGATTTGGGTATGAAAACTTCCTAAAATTAAAGCCACTGAGGCAGAGCTGGAATAATAAAAGACTACCGTTCCTATCTTCCCTCTGATTAAAAAAAAAAAAAAAAAGAAATCAGATGAGACAGAATAGGGAATGAGAGAAAAGCTGATTACAACTTGCATTACTGAACAAACCAGCTACTATACTGAGATATTTATAAAAAGATGCACAAGAAACACATGAATACACAGTAGTCTCTTTGTAAAATATTTTTAAAATACAGATATACTAAAGAAAGTATAAACTGATTGTGAACTTTGTAAGAATGATTTATTCATTCTGTGAGCGAGAAAGACAGACATAGCACCCTGGACAGGCCCCACCACCAGGATCCAAGCCCAGTTTCAGCTGTCCTGGATCACAGGCACACTCGCACACAGGCATACTCAGGGTAGCTCTGGACCTGAACTGGCAACCCTCCATGTGCGTCTTCTTTGCAGAATATCATGCTTTATTCCTGCAACACCATCTGGCCCTCCAATTGTGAAATTTATAGGTTATGTATGCAGGTGCATAAAAACCTAACTTTAAAGAATACTCTGCAATTCAATCTATTTTATCATCTGAGCTCCCAATATGCTTAATGAAAAAGTCATCTAAAAATTGTCATGTAAATTAACATAGGTAATGATGAATAAGTCATGCTATGAGTAAAAACAATGAAATTCGAGGTTCTATTCCTTCCCTTTTCCCCTCTTTTTCCCCATTATCCATGGGATGGATCAAGTTCTAGTCAAGGCTTCTAATTTTCTAAATACATAGAAAGAGAAACCTGATCCATCGTCATTTCCACCTTCTTGTGTTGAATTCTTTGACAATATGTGTCCCTCAATGACCATCCTTGTTCAAATCCATTGAGGTGACTTTGTCTTGCCATGTTCTTAAATCAAGTGGTCCTTGCACTTCATACCTTCCTTATGGAACATCTTGCAGTCACTCCAAGTTCATAGATGATCTCTCAGCTACTCCTTGAGGGTACCTGGACATTCAACTGCATCCTTGGTCCTGCAATAGTGTGGGTAGGACTCGGTGAGATACCATCAATCCCTCCACCTGATGCTTCTTCTATACATTTTGCTCCATCAGGAGTCAAGTTTTTCTAAGAGGTTCCTCTTGGAAGTGAGGGGGCATATCCTTTCTGCTTTCATAAATATCTTTCCTTCAATCCCACATCAGGTTTAGCTGGGGTAGAAGCAAGAGAGGGCCTTTCTCAGTATCCAGCTAACTGGAGCTGTCTTCTCCAAAGGCCAGGTATCTTTATCTTATTTTGGCAGAAAAAATCTAAATTCTTCCCAACTCTAGTTTACATTATATATTTTATATCCAAAGTACATTAGTACTTAGAATTCTGATGTTCAAAATTTTCTTTGTAAACTAAAAGAAGCTTTTCTCTTAAGAAGAGCTTGCTAAACTTAACAACTGTTTCAGCTTTTATTACACGTTTTAGTTATGAGTTAAAAAATATTTTTGAAATTCAATAGATTTTTTTTCTGATTCTTGTGGCTTTATCCTTCCCTGGGGCGAATAAATGTCCCCTGGAACAATATGGGATAACAATAATCATTTTAAAAAGTGAGGAAGCATTAATGTTTTATGACATTATTTCATAATATTTCTTCTTAGAGATACTTTTGTGGAAAGTCGGAAAACATTTATCTGTCATTTGGGACTTAAAAAAACGAAATCTGCTATAAATTGACTTCCCCATCATAGAAAATTCTGTGTAAGAAGTATAACTCCTAGTAATAGGTGAATCTTGATAAGGGAAAAAGTTCTTACCTTCCTAGACTGGAGGATACTTATGTCTGCCAGCAGCATGCCCCTCCTACAATTTGAACAAAGTTTTGATCTTCTTATAGCGGGCTTTTTCTTCTCTGCCACAGACCTAAATCCTCAGAGTGGCTAATACAACCATTGGGTGGACCAAAGTACTTTTTATTTTTAAACTCAGACTTACCGTAATTGATTTTTCCACTGTGGGTTTCTCTTATCTCTGACTATCAGTATTGCTCACAACTCAGCCTTTTTTTTAATAGTATTTTAAAGAAACAAAACAAAAAGGCAAAAAAATTATTTTACACTTCAAATTAAAATTATAGTAATAGATCTTATATGATTATCGATCTACTCATAGAATTTATATTTGTTGCATTTATATATTTATTTCATGTGTCAATATTATTCATTATTACAGTTTGCTCTATGTTTTGTCATCTAATAGAGTTAATTATCTGTCACTAGTTTTCTTCAGAATTTTGGATATGTTTTGCTTATAAATGTTTTTTGTTTATTTTATTTAATTTATTCATTCATTTATTTTAATTTGACAAGAGGGATTCATTCTACTGGTTTTTATTTTTATTTTTTTGAAGTATATGTTGAATTATCAACAAGGATTTTTTACTCTACTGTGGTATACTTTTTCACTATTCTAGTTGTTTACATGCATTCATATATCTATTAATTATTTCTGAAACCTCCGGGTCCACCCCCTCCTGTGCAGCTTTGTATCTACCAACACTCTCTCTACTTCTGTGTTATTGAGTCCTTTAGCTTGCACTAATTATTTTTACTTAGCAATATATTTTCTAGATTCATCTACTTTATCCCAAATGACGGGAATTCGTTGTCCTTTATGACTGAAAAGTATTTCGTTGTGTGTATGTGTCATATTTTTTTAATCCATTTGTCAGTTGGACGTTTAGGTCCCAGTTATTGTGAATAATGCTGCAATAAGCATGGACATGTAAAAGTCTGTCTGACATATTGATTTCCTGTCCTCTGGTTATCCCAGTGGAATTATGGGTCAGCAAGTAGTTCCATTTTAAGAGTTTTGAGGAAAATTTATATTTTTACCTCCAGTTTACATTTTCACAAACAGTGCAAAAAGTATCAGTAGTTCTGATTTTTTGTTTTGTTTGTTTGTGTTTGTTTTGTTAACAGTTACGGAGTTAGGAGTTATGGACTTAGGAGATTCTTCATTGTAGTTTCAATTTCCAGTTCCCTTATGATAAGAGACATTAAACATTTTCTCATATGCTTTTTAGCAATTCATGCTTTCCTTCAAAAGTTATTTATTCAGAAAAATTAGGAGTATTAAGGTTCTTAGATGATCTGAGTTCCTTACATATTCTTTCAATCTCTTGTAGGAATGTAGGCTGCAAATATTTTATCCCATTCTGTTGGTTGTCTATAATTTGCTTCGTTGTGCAGAACTTTTTTACCTTTGTCAATTTTTGGTGTTTTTTTCCTGTGCCTTGGGGGGTCTTATCTAAAAGTCTTTGCCTAACTCAATATATTGAAGTGTTTACCTTATGAGAAAATGTTTGTTTAATTTTTTAAAGTGTTTTTGCTATAGAATGTATGTTCTCACTTGACAGAGACAGAGAAAAAGTGAGAAATCACACTTGGGGTGGGGGTGGGGGATGACCACACCACAATCCCCTCTCTTTCATTCTCCTCTCAGGTATTTGGTCATGCACGTACATGTTCCTGGTGTGTTTTCTAAACCACCAGATCCAGGACTCTAACCACAAAGTCAGTCATGTGGAATTTAGTACCTTAACCTCCATATCATCTTCTGGCCCAGATGCTTGTTTAATTTATCCCCTTCCATAAAATAGCTTTATACACATGCCAGCAAATCAAAGTCTGGCAATTAACTTTTCTTCCATAGGGCATGTGTCCTTGCTGAAGATAGAGAGAGGGAAAGTAAGAAATTATCCCTTGGGGGAACGGCCATGCTGCAATCCCTTCTCCTCTACTCTCCTCTTTGGATTTTGGGCACACATGCATATGTGCTCGTCATGATTTTCAACCCACTGCATCTGGGACTTGAAGAATGCAGTCGGATATGTGAGAGTCCAGTGCCCTAACCACTACACTATCTGCTGGCCCCAAATTCTGGTTGTATTTTATTGAAATTTGTAAATTAATTTATGTAAAATTGACATATTAACAATCTTGAGTTTCCACTTTCAGAAACATTGTGCTATTGTCTATGAACTCATCTCCATTTGAATCAAGAATTTTCACATTTTTCTGTAATTTTTCCTCAGGATTTTATAGTTTTATGTTTTACATTTAAGTGTATGATTTATTTTGAATTGAATTAGTTTTGTATTAAGTATGAGGTTTAGATCAACATTTACATTTTTGACCATAGATAGTTAATTGTTCTAGCCCAATATTTTTTGTTTGCTTTTTGATAGAGAGCATGAATACTTGCTGGAGAGAGGCAGAGAAAGAGAGAGACAGAGAAAAACTTACCATGGGGGATGGCCACACACAACAATCCCTTCTTCAAGTCTCTTTTTCCTATTTTGGGCCTGCACACCCACATTCCCAGCCTGTTTTTCAAGCAGCTGGGCCTGGGACTCAAAGTCATGCAGGATCCAGCTTCATTAACCACCAAACCACTGATTGACATGCTAGCCCAAACTTTTTAAAGAGTATTTTTTTTTTTTTTTGGAGAGGTTTTCGCTATAGGGTGTGTGCGCTCGCCAGACACAGAGACAGAGACAGAAAGCGAGAAATCCACCCCCCCAGGGGGGATAATCACGCCGCAATCCCTTCTCCTCCTCGGGATCCTGGGCACGCACGCACACACGCCTGGCATGAGTTTTAAGCCACCGGGTCCAGGACGCAAACCGCGGTAGACTACGTGGGAGTCCAGGGACATAGCCATTACGCTAACTGCTGGTTCCCTTAAAGAGTATTTTTAAAAATCTTTTATTTATTTATTTTTAGAGATTTTTTGCTATAAGGAACATGCCCTTTCCAGAGAGACAAAGAAACAGAAAGTGAGAAATCACCCTGCAGAGGGAATAGCCATGCTGTAATCCCTTCTCCATTCTTCCCTCGGAATTTTGGGCATATACGCACATGTATCCAGTGTGAATGTTAAGTCGCCAGGTCCAAGACTTTTAACTGCGGTTGACCATATGGGAGTCCAGCAACGTAACCATTATACCATCTGCTGGTCCCCTTTTTAAAGACTATTAAATTGTATTTATACCTTTATCAAAAGACATTTTTCCATAGATCAATTTCTGAGTTTTCTAATTCGTTCTCATAATCTATATATTTATTACTTCACTGATATTATGCTATCTTAATTAATAAGTTGCATAGTAAGGCTTAAGTAATTTCTGTCACTTTATACTTTTTGGTCAAAATGGTTTTAGTTATTCTAAAGCTTGTGCTTTTTCAAATAAATTGTAAAATAAGCTTTTTCATACATGTAAAAACTCTTGCTGGGACTTGGATAGAACTGAATTCAACCTACCGATCAATTTTTAAAATAATTGACATTTTTATTATTGTATAGTGAGTATTCCCATCTATGAATATATGTCTATTTATTTAAGTCTTCTTTGATTTTCTTAATCAGAATTTTATATTTTTCATCATACAAACCTTATAATT